CCCCCCCCACCTGGTCGTCATGCTCGGCTTCGTCATCGATAACCTGGCCACCACCGGACAGACTGAACCCCTCCAGCCCGTTCAAACGAACCGACAAACCGCCACCACCACTACCACCCTCGCCCCCGCCGACACGCCCCCGGGCAGCACTCCAGCTGCCACCAGCTGAAGCAGCAGCTGCGGCGGCTGCTGGTGCGCTGCTCGGCTGGGGCGGCTGGTTGTTGTGGTTGGCTTGTTGGTTGCCATTGCTTGTGGTGGTGATGCTGGTGGTGAACTCCGTGGATGGCTGCTTGCCGGGTATATTCCACATGACCTTGGGGCGGCACTCGCGGCGCGCGTAGAGATTGCTGTTGCTCACGCCGCTCAGCACAGTCGCCTCTCGACGCAAGACGCCCACACCCTACACAAACGAGGCAGGGCACAAGAGATGAGAGAGGAGCGTGTGTCTAGTCTGGTGCAGGAAGGGTTACTTACGCTTCCAGCGCGTCTGGGGCCGCTGATGCCGCTGGTGATGCTGTTGTTGTTATTGAGCCCCTTGGGCGGCTGCAGCTGTGTGGGTGGTCGTCTGGGCCTGTCGACCACGGCCGCCTGGCGGGCGGGGCCGCCCGACTGCTTCTCCAACGCCTCCAACTCCTCCTTCTTGGCGTCACGCCTGACATACACACACACACACACACACGTGCAGGAACACTGAGTGGGTGGATGCCCTCTGTGTGCTCGTGTCCACCGTCTGGTGGGGTGTGTCTTATTACTTACTGTCTGAGTAGGGTCTCTCGCTGCTCGGCAGGGCTCGATTCGATGCGCTTCTGCAGACGATCCAGCTACACATTCACAAGACCGACCGACGGACACACAGACAGACAGAGAGCGTGTAGACCAGACATCCCCCAGTCCCGCCCCGCACCCACCTCTCTCTGTGTCCTCCCTCACCTGTTTCCTGATGTTATTTTTCTTCTGCATGAGCTCGATCTGGCGCACTACCTGCAGACCCTTGCTCTTTTTCTCCAGCTGGATCTTCGTGTTCACCTGAGAATCGAAGAAAAGAAAAGTTGCACACACACCATCTTGTGCGCGTCTTGTTTGCTTCCGTCGCGGGCGGCTGGCTTACATCTTGGCTGGTCCACTGCAGGCCCTCCCGCTCCTGCTTGCTCTTCAAGTCCGACACGAACCTGCATGTGCCCACCGTGTGTGTGATGTCCGGCTCGATTCGATTCGCTGCGTGTCCCTGCGGGTCTGTCTGTCTGTCTGTCTGTCTGTCGCTCACCTTCCTTCGTATTTGAGGTCCGCGGCCCCCTCCCGCCGCACATAGTCCTCAATCACCATCTCCCACACCTCCTGGATCACACATCACACCCAGGAAAGCCACATCTCACCAAGATGCCCCCCCCTCCCTCCCTCCCTCCCTCTCTCTGCTCACATACATGGTTTTTGACGTCCTTGTCTTCCACTGCAGCGTCCTTCGTTTCCCACTCCGCCAGGGCCTTCTCGTGCTCGGCAATGCCCGGCTGCGCGCTCCTCATGGCCTCGCGCTTGCCCTTCTCGATCTTGCGCTGGGCGTAGTAGAAGTCGGGCTGCTTCGACGACCCCTGGGCGTTTCGCAGGTCCTCCTTAAGGTGCGTCTTGCGCGCCGCCATGTCGTCCTTCAGCACCCAGCGGTAGCCACGAGAACCACGACCTATTTATTATATGGAGGGAGGGAGAGATCCACGAATGAATGCAGTCAGTCATTGCAATGCGTGTGCGGGCGGGATGGTTGTGCGTACCAAGCCTGATGCGGAATACTGGGACGTCGTCGTGGCTGGTGCGTTCGTTCTGGTGGTTGGGTGGGTCGTCTCCCGTGTCGCCCATCAGCCGCCACTCGTCGCAGCTCGCCTTGTCGACGTAAACCACCTCTGCACATACATGTTGGATTGACACACACACGAGGAGGTGGTCAATGGTCTTTCCTTTCCTTCGTGTCCGTCCGTGACTGATCGGTCGGTTCTCTCTCCCCCAGTCACTCACTTTCGATGCAGCCGAGCTTGTAGCATGCGGGCGTCTCGTCGGCAGCCGGCAGCAGCACGAAGTAGCCCTTCGATATCTCATCCAGTCTGCACGCAGGCAGGGCAGGCAGGGAAACGAACGAACGGGGCGCGGTGTAGCTAGATGCCTTGCTGCATCCATCTGCTGAGTCTGTCTGTCTGTCCGTGTGTCCCACCCCCACCGTGGGTGCTTCTCGTAGTAAGCCAGGTCCGACTGCGTCAGTACGACTGAACTCATCAGCTCAGGAGTCAGCCCTCGTACCTGATTGATAAAACACAACACAACACAACATGGGCTCTCTTTCTTCCTCGGTGGACGCGATGCACCCATGGCATGCCATGCATGTGCTCACCTGCACATCTTCATCTTTATCGCGTTTCTTGTCGCCCTTCAACCGTCTGTCCCGTGACCGCTCCGAGCGCTCGGAGCGCGCCTTGTCGTCGTCGTCGAAGAAGGCATCCCTCTCCCTATCTCCTCGGCGGTCGGCCATTTTGCGCGACTCCTTGAAGATGGGCGTCTCGTCCTCATCGTCGAAGGGCGTCTTCTCCTTGTCCTTGTCTTTGTCTTTGTCTTTGTCGGCTGCTGCTGCCTTCTTGGTTGGCTTGGTGGCCTGGGGTTTTTCCTCCTCGTAGTCGCTGTCTCGGCGGTCGTCGTCGCTCTCCTCCTCTTCGCCCTCCTCCGCACTCTCCTCCTCCTCGCCCTCCTCCATCTCCTCGTCTGGCCAGCCAGCCATGATGGATAGGGCAGACAGAGAGAGAGGTGGGTGATGGCTGTGCGCCTGTCCGTCGTTGTATGTGTGCTGCATACACACACACACACATACATCCATACCGTCTGTGCGTCGCTTCTTGGCCTCCTGGTCCTTCTGCCGCTTGGCATCCCGCTTTTTCTGGCCAGCACAACAAACACCACACAGACGTACAGATCAGAGATGCGGGCACTCAGGTGTGTCGTGTCTGTCGTGTCCGTCTGCCTGTCAGTCAGGGAGTGTAGTGTGCAGCACACACCATACACACCTACCCTCATGTCGGCGAGTGCCTGGTTCTCTGCCCGTTTCTTCTCATCGACGACCGACGAGGCCGCCGCGGCGGCCTGCTCACGCTCACGAGACTTCTCACGCTCAGAAGGAGCTGGCAGACGGTACTGTTTCCTGTGACACACACAGTCGGCACACACAGAGAGACGAGGAGGAGATGACCATATAGCCACGCCATGCATTATCCCTGTCCGTGCTGTGTGGTGTGCATTGTTTGTTCCTTCTCTGCGTCAGTCATACTTCTTCTGTTCCTCGACGAGTGCCCTCTCGTACTGCCACACCGTCATGCCCTTGGCCCACTCAGGCCGCTCGTCCTCATCGTCATTCTCGTCCTCCTCGTTGCGACGACGCTTCTTCCCACGATCTGCCATCAGCACGGCCACAGTCACGAGGACAACGCGCAGCACGCACAACCAAGGAAGGGATTGCGGTAAGATCTGCGAGCTCACACGCGACGATCTTTCGAGCGGTGTTTTTTGCCCCAGGAAGGGTGTTTGTAGGCTATTTGACCTCTCGTGTTGCAATTTGGTAGCGCGATGCCGAGCGGCGATGGAGAGGGTCCCCGCGAGAGTCTGGTGTCGTCGCCACCTCAGGGCGAGGCCTCCCTGGACCGTGTGCGGATCGATTCGACGATATCTGTGACTGACCTGCTAGAGCGGCGGCCGCCTGAGAGACCGAGGAAGTACAACAGCAGCCCCGCCACCGTCATCACCGTCTGTGCCAATGTCGTTGGGTCATCGGTGCTGGTCTTCCCCTTCGCCTTCAGGTGGGCTGGGCCATCACATCACACCACACACAACGAGGAGGAAACACTGTGGATACACACACACACACACAGACTGAATGAGTGCACATCTATCTGCTTGTGTTGGTGTGTGCAGGAATGCCGGCGTGTATTCTTTTGTGTTGTTCCCCTTCCAAGTGGCGCTGGCGTGTTTCTCCATCCTGTGGCTGTGCCGGTCAGTGGAGCTGACCGAGGGCCTGCTGCACATCCCCAGTGTGGGCAGGCACGTGCCTCGCCGCCGGAAGCACCACACCCACCTCAGCTATAAGCAGCTGGGCGTCCGGACCTTCGGCAAGCCCATTGGATACGCCATTGAAGTCCTCATCGCCCTTTACACATGGTCAGTCCGCCAGCAGAGAGGGAGGGAGAGGGAGAGGGAGAGAGCGCTGTTTATTGTGTGTGAGGTGACGTGTGTGTGCATAGGAGCATGTGTATCAACATCGGTGTGATTCTTCACAACCTGATTGACCCCGTCGTCACACACTTCATCCACCACCCAGACGAGGCGGCCCCCGCTTTAGTCTCCACACACAATGCAACCAATGCCACAAACCTCACCATGCCAGCAGGGCTTCACAACGGCACCCGCCCTTTGATCACGGCCCTCTACAGCAGCAGCAGCGATCTGTGGCAGCTCGTGTCGGCTCGACAGCTGCAGAGCAACACATCTGCGGATGACGGTTGGGGCGGTGGGGGCGACGACATCGGGCCAGCAGCAGCGGAGAGCATCTGGCTTCAAGAACGGTTTCAGTTTGTCGTGCTGGGGGCGCTGGTCCTCTGTTTCGCGCCGTTCAAGTCCCTAAGGGCGCTGCGGTACACGTCGTTCGTGAGCCTGGCCTTAATGCTCTACCTCACTGTAGTAGTGGTGCTGGAGACCAGGAACTATCATGCTGGCGACGCTGGCGGTGGTGGTGGTGGTGTTGGGCAGAGTGGTGGCTGGGTATTTGATGGCGGCTTCTTCTCTCCGGGTCTGTCGATGGACTTCTGCCAGGGGGTGGGCATCCTCAGCTTCTGCACCACGTCGCACTACAACATACCACGGTAGGCATGTTTTTCTGGCGACAACACTGGGACATACCTGGGTGACTTGACGACGTGTCTGCAGGTATTACAACGAACTGGCCGACGCGACTCCCGCCAAGATGTTTGGTCTCAGCATTGTGTCCTACGCCCTCATCTTCCTTATCTACTTCACCGTGGCAATCGCCGCATACTTGTCGTTCGGCCCCACCATCCTCAGCAACATCCTCCTCAACTACCGCGGCGATGACGCCCTGATGCTGACGGTGCGGGTGGCCCTGGTGGTGGTCCTGGTGTGCGCATACCCACTGGTGCACCAGGCCACCAGAGCGGCGCTGGAGAGCATCTTCTTCCACCCGAAACGTTTGTGAAGCAAAGAGAGAGGGAGGGAGGACGCCTGTGTGATGTGTGTGTGTGTGTCTGTCTGTGTGTGTGTGTGTGTGTGTGGTTTAGCGTGGCGGCGTTCGCCTCCTCGTTGGCGGTTGATGTGTGAGAGTGTGGTGCTCATTCCGCTGGCATTTGTTGTCTCCTACTGGCTGCCGGACATCGGTGAGTGAGGGAGGGAGGGAGGGGCATTACATTACCCAACCAAGGCAAGGCCACAAAAGGCTGACGCATCCTCTCTGCGTGGATGGGTGCCTACAGGTATTGGTCTTGGGTTTAGTGGTGCCGTTGGTTCTACTCTGCTGGTCTTCATCCTGCCGCCACTCTTCTACCTCACCGTCGCCAAACGAGTCAGGAAGCAACAACAGAAGCAGCAACAGGAGCAGCAGCAACAGGAAGAGCAAACAGAAGCTGCCCCTGCAGCAACGGACAGCCGCGCCGTCTGGCTTGACGAGCCGCCCTTCGAGGCGCCCTTGCAGTGGATCACACCGCCCTCTGCCATCGGCACGATAGCACCACCACCACCAGCCGCAGCGGCGACCAACGGACACGCGCACACCCTCCCGGCTTCGCCCGCAGAATTCGACAGCCGTCCACAGGACAAGAAGGAAGGGCTGCGAGGGGTGGAGAAGCCAAAGCCCCTTTTGCCTCCTCCGGCTCCCGTGGCTGTCAAGGCGGACCTGTCGGCTGCCTTCGCTGTACTGGAAGAGAAGGGCGGCGTCCTCAGCCCCCCTCTCGTCCCCGAGCCGGTCTTCAAGAGCCCCTACAGTGAGCTCGGTGTCGACGGCAACCAGCAACACGTCCGTGCGCACGTCCTGACGCGAAGATCGGAGTCGTGTCTGTCGAGCAGCACACTGGGGGGACCGACCCCTCGTGTGTGCGACGTGGTGCAGGTGCGTGTGCACGGCCCCGAAGGCGGCGATCGGAAGAGAGTATCGTTCGACACGATGGAAGAGGGCGACGAGGCAGCGGCAGAGACGGATGGGAATGGCACTACTGGGGGAGAGGGAGAGGGAGAGGCGGCGGGGAGGGTGAATGGCTTGTCTAATGCTGTGGGTGGCCGTGGCCGTGGTCGTGTTGGAGAGAGGGACGAGAGTGATGACGACGCGTATGTGGCGTCGCTACTGCCTAGTGTGTGTGACGAGGTGATATGTTGGGTGAGTGTGGTGGCGGGGTGCGTCTTCTGTGTGGCGGGGCTGATGGGGTCCGCCCACGCACTGCACCAAGCAGTGAGGGACAGGTGACGTGTTGGGTGCGACGATGTCACTGTGGTAGGTTTGAATGAATCCATGGTTGATGGAGTTCAGAGCGAGATGAGGTGTATGATAAAAAGCGAGAGAGATCAGGTTTGACGAGACGCATGCGTAAACGCTTTGGTGCGTCTGTCTGGTTGGTTGGGTGGGAGTGAGAGTGCGTAAAGCGAGCCCTTTTCATCTGTTCGTGTGTGGGTTTGAGCTCATGCATGCATGCGTCGGTGCGTGCTGATTGCATGGCATGGAAGTGGCTGTGCTGTGTGTACAAAGAGAGCAGGAGAAGCGAGGGAATGACTGAATACCTACCTAACCGACCGACACAACAGGCAGCCCAGCCTAGCCTCTTTTTCGCCGGTTGGTTGGTCATCTATCTCACGTCCTCCCGTGGTTCGTCTCGATCTAGCTAGCTATTTGTTGGTCATCATGCGCCCTACGTGTGTGTGATTATACATCGCGGAGAGCGATATGACCC